GAGATTTACTTACAATAAGTAAGCCCATAAAGGGTCATGAAAGTTATACAAGAAAATGGTGGTTGCAGTAAAATGTTGGACTCACCCGTGTTCTGTCCTCAATGTTGGAGATGTACAGTTGCATGGGGATGTTAAAACTATGTAGAAAGTTCCCACCAAACACAAGTGTGTCTACTGGAGTGTACACCGCATGGACCCAACCTAACAAAAATAAATAAAGGTTTTATTTAGGTATTATTCACAGCAAATGTAATTTAGGAAAGCTCAAACTAATCATTCAAAACTAAAACCATGAAAACAAATGGTAATAAGAAATTCTAAATAAATATACACACAATATAACAATCAAGTGTTTCTGATGTAAACAAATGTGTGTGCCTGCATGTGCTTACCTGATGGAATAATGAACGTGTAGCCCTGCTTGAGCTCAATCCTCTGGCAATCAGTGGCCTTGTCACCAAGGAAGATGTCGCCTTGTTTCCCTGACAACACCCAGTTCTCATAAAGCTCCAGGTTTTGTGGCGTGGGCGGGATTAACCAAAACACCTGTAGCAGAGACATCCAAATCGAGCTCATCTAGGCCAAAACCATTTATGGGTATTTTGACAGGAAACTAATTGTCAGATACAAAATAACAGTTCATATGACATTATCAATGAGCTCTTGTGTCCATGCTAAATTAAAATCACAATGATTTCAGCATGTACACTACTGTTCAAAGGTGAAATCTTTTATTCAACAAGAATGCATAAAATCGATCAAAAGAGAAAAAGACTTCAAACCGAAAAACCACGATACACCACCCACGATATGTACCGCGGTACTCTCACGGCCTTCCCCGCCCCCTGCGGAGACACTTCAAACGTGTACGGCCATGATGGTTTTGAATTGCTTGAATTAGTTTGAAAAAAAAAAAAAGGTCCCATTAAGGGCAACATGTGCAGAACTTATCTGTCATATAGGCTACATAAAATTATAATGAGAACAAAAGATGACATCATGTTTCTGTGCATTGTTGGAAAGTATGCGTCCACAGAGTTTTATCTTCATGACTAGCAGAGTCAAGTTTGCTTGTGAAGCCACTCGCAGCATTTTTGTGGAACTGTAAGTTGCAATATTTTGTTTATATATTTCATGTATAGATTATTTATTTCATACAAGATGCATTTGGTCGAATTACGCTGCAGTAAAGCGCTTCATTGTTGGCCTACTATGGTGATTATCTCTTCAAGGCATAGCGCGAGCAGCACAAACAACAATGAAGAATATTAATGAATATTAACTATGACTGGGACTGTCATATACATAACATTATAATGAACCCACTTCTATAATAAAACGCTGTGAATTTTTAGAGTTTAGTTGCCGTGTTTAGCTGCGGGATTGTGGGAGCGTTGTGTGTAATTCTACACATTCACCAAGGTTTTGCGATTATAGAGTGGGAAATTCCCGCAAACATTTATGCACTATTGTATGCAAGTTGAATCCTAACAGATTATCAGAGCAGATCAGTCATCCGCGTCTTCTCCCACTCTCTCAAAATGCACAAATGGCCTCACATCCATAATATCCACATTGAGTTTGCTCTGCAAGCGAGCTGCACGCTGCAATACAAGACTAGCCCACATTTCGGACAGTTGACGGAATTGTGACTTGCACGTCATATTATGTCACGCCAATTTAAACAATCAAGCTATTTTAACCCATAAAGTACTCGCGCACTCTCAAACAGCTTGCGACTCTCAAGTGTTAGACTGAGTTTACATATTTGAATAAAATCATTTCCTTATTGTCCAGCTATTCCATTTTATTTATCCATGGCACATGCATTTTTATATGTAGCCTAAGTATAATGTTGTCCAATGACTAGTTTGCATTATTTAGGCATTATTTTATTTAAATTTTATTAAGACAATAGATTTTTTGGTAACACTTTACAACGCAACCATTTTTAAAGTCTCATTTGTTAGAAGGGGTGTAAATTGGATGGTTCGTGACGATACGATACAATATCGATTCTCATACCCAGCGATACGATATTTGCCGATACCTCAAAAAATTCTACGATACGATTACGATTCGATTCAGGAGTATATCGATCGATATGTCGATATTATGATATTATATATCTATTTTAAACAACCATCTACATTTTTATTAACTCACAAATGCAACCAAAATATATAACGAACATTTATCTGAAATTTTCACATCCTGTTGGGGCATTTAGGACATTCACAACAAAAAAATAGGCCTACACTTTTTTTTTTTTTTTTTTAATAATAAAGAAAATAAACAATTGGAAAAACAATTCTGGCTGCTACTATGGGCTCAGTGCTAAAAATCTTTTCTACAGATAACCAAATTACAAGCAATAGCAGAAAATAAATACAATACAACAAAGACACAAGTTCAATAAACAGTGCTTTTCAGGTTTTTCAGCTCAATCTAAAATACATTTTCAGATAGGCCCTACGCTACAGAAATGTAATAATCAAATGTAAAAACTGCATAGCCTTCACTGTATAAATTAAATATAGATTAATCATTTTTGATGTTACAAAGGTTTAGTCAAGAGCTGTGAGCACTTGTATTTTTCTTTGACAGCATTAGATTTATTTTTTAGTTTGCTTTCACTTTAAGAACGAAGCACGGATTTAATATACTGATACACATGCCTTTTCTTTCTCCACTGTTTACGTTAAGACATATGCCTAACCGACTGTGTTTACTAGGATATTCGCCAAAAGGCACATTTTGATGTAATTTTGTCTGTATTTATTCATCTATGCACAAAAAAAGCGGAACAGAGCTCAATTTAGTATTCGCACGGTGTAGACACCGCTGTCTGTGTGCGTGCGCAGAAAACTTCTCACACGGCGCACGACTGTTCCACAAACAATCCCGAGCATCTTTTATACTCACCTTGTGCCTTCGGGCAGTCCTTATATCGGGTCCTGATACGTGAGTTTAAACGAGGATGCACGCATTGGCAGTAATGCATAGACGGACATTATGTGAAAATGTGGACAGTGCCAAAATAAAGGTGCCTATTTATACAACAGACATCGATATTTTACGTGTGGCATCGATGCATCGTATCGTATCGATTAATCATTACACCCCTATTTGTTAGTGCATTAATTAATGAACTAACAGAGAGCAATTATTGTTATTATTATTGATAATATTATATAATTATTATTATTATATAAGTTCAAAGTGAATCTAGTGTTCTATAGCATTGCTGGTGCCATGCTATGAACCCTACCCCCACAGCAAAACGAACCGTGGCTCCAAAACGGTGATATGAACCGAAACATTTGATTGGTATATCTTTACACCCCTAGTATATATACAGTGTTCTCTGACCTTGCAGCCCCGCAGTATGTAGTACCACACAGATGTGCCTCCAAAGTCTATGTGGAAATCTGTGTAACAGCCCTGCACGCTCATTAGGCAGTACCTGGAAACAGGCAAATTTGAAATAGGGGAAAATGACTGTTTTGCTGAAGAATAACAAAAATTAACAAAGAGAGTTGTGTGAGAAATGGGACATGAAGTTAATGCAGTAGGCTTATTTCCATGTGAACTGACCCTTTTTGTTTTAAAGCCTTTACAAGATGTAAGAGCGAGCATTCATTAATATAGACTCTATTGAAGGATCTAATATATGCTCACTTCTGCACTTTGGGGTATTGCATGTCAGTGATAGAGTTTGTGGCATCTCTTTGTCTTTCCTTTAAGTGTCTTGGCCACATGTTGTCCACCCAGTCAATCATGTCCACCTGTGACAACATGGATAAATATTCTGACTATCACACACTGGTCTAAATATATGTATTTTTTGGTTTGTCTTAAGTGTTAAGGTACCTACCGTGGTAGGTCTTTTGACATAGCTCTCTAGTTTAGTGTGGCTAAATTCAAGGCTGATAACATTATAAAGCTTCTCTCTCTGAGAGGGAGGAGTCGCATAATAGCTCTTCCATTGCATCATTGACATCTCCGTCCCCTTCTGAGTAGACACATCCATCACGTCAATCATACGCCGACTTCCTGTAAAGAGTGATGAGCAGGAAGGAGATGCTGAAGCACCACTGATGCTAGTCAACATGAAATTCATCAGCATAGCCAACCACAAAAACACTTACCTACTAACGACTTCACATCATTAACACTGAAGTCTGGATCTGGCATTCTAAAAAGGAAATATTGCAAATTCAGATTAAATTCAAATGTAAAACTTTATAAACATTCTGAAATGTGAAAAGAAAAAAAAAAGAGGAAAAATAGGAACTGTAAAGGGCAGGAAAAATTACATTTATAAAAATAAAAAAAAGGACAATATCTTACTTAATGCCAAGTCCATCAGGTCTCTCAAAGATGATGGGGTCCCGAAGCCCACATTTCTGAATGTACTCATATGTGAGGTCTAAAAAACAACAGGCAGCGTTAAATTACACACTCCATGAAGATCTTTGAAGAGTTCCATAAAGAGCCGCATCTTTTTTTCACCTTTGCCCTCCATGCGTTTGACTCTGTCTGAGCTGAAGCGTTTGTTGTGGAGCTTCTCCTCCAGATCGAAAGTCCTCTTTCCATCAATCTCTTCATCGGAAAGGCCATCGTCTTGGTAACGCCGCCGCGTGCCAGACCGCTGTAAGATAAGAGAGTGAGAGAATGAGGCAATGAAAATCCGATGCCAGAGCAACACTTTTTCTCTGCATACACTCCTCCTTGTCTTCTGAATGCTGAACAAATGTTGTATAACTACCACCGTTTCAACTTGTTGGGCTATTTGAGCGCACACATACACTAGGCTGAGAGATGCACTTGCCCACAATCTCACACATAGATACAGTGAGTATAGAAAAGAATCACCCCCCTTTAAAATAATCATATTTTGTTGCTTTGCAGCCTGAAATGAAGATGGACACCCTTTTTGTTTTATCCAGCTATAACACCAACATGTCAGGAAAAAAAACAGAATCACTCAGTTGGAGTTGTGTGCATGTGACAACAATATCACAAATTCCCCACAAATGTGGCTTGAATGGCAGAGTTGCAAGAAAAAAGCCACTCCTCAAGAAAGGTCACATGCAGTCACAAACGAGCTTTTCTGAAACACACCTTGAAGATTCTGAGGCAGATGAGACTAAAATTGAATTATTTGGCCTCAACACCAAACGATATGTCTGGCGGAAATCCAATACAGCTCACCATCCAAATAACAGAATTCCTACAGTAAAAGTGGTAATATCCTGTTATGGGGGTGTTTCTCTGCAGCAGGGACTGGACTCCCCACACCGTCGTTTTGATTTATTTATAGTAACAAAAATAATTTTGCCTAGTTCAGTTAGAGGACAGACACTTTAAAAAAATAAATAAAAAAAAACGCTCAATGCAGCGTGCCGAACCGTGCGCGAACGACAGTGCACCACGGAGCAGGAGTCAGATTTTATTTATCACGTGAGGAGAGTGAGTCGAGCTGAGTCGAGAAGACCCTCCTCTGCCCTCAATGTCTCAATGGTGATGTGGAACCACTAACCAATCACACGCTTCCTAAAGCCCTGGCCTGTCGTCACACCCTCTCAAACTCAAAGACAACAAGACAAAAAAAGGGGGGAGAAAAAAAATCAATGAAATGAATTGGGCATGACTGTGCAGAATCTTAGAAAATTAGCAACAAACCCGTTCAAATGCCTTTGAAGAACTAAATTAAACCATGTGGACCTCTATGAGCATGCAAACAAAGCCCTATATAAAAAAAAAACTTCACATTAGCAGAAAATAGCCCAAACACACTAGACGAATATTGGCCTCATAACTCTTCATTCAAAAATTGAGAATTGCATTGTGTCATGTTAAAAACAGTTTTAAAAACAAGTGCTTCAGGACCCGTGTTCTGTTCTGTTCCAATACAACAATTGTGCTTTGTCTAGCTGAATGCAAGATCGTGTCCTGTGTGTACGACAATCTCTGCTTTCACAAACTGAAAGTCACCATGTACACCATGTTCCTGTTCTAACCAATCAGACAGCAAGGAACCGCCCAAAACGCAACCACAAACACAAAAAAAACAGATATTTTTGAAGACAATTATTATGATGATCAATCAATGTTATCATTGACAAGTACTTAGGTGCTTGTGCCCATCCCTAGTCAACAAAGCTGCAGTTTTCACCTCCTCTGGGCCTGTGCGCAATTCCTGCACCTGTCACTGCATAACTGCATCTTTCGATCTCTTCCATTCACAACAGATCAACAAACTGTCAGATCTCTCAGTAACAAAAGCAGCAAATAAGCATTTAGGGTGAAACAGTACAACCTGTACTGCAACATGTCCTCATTTGACACCAATAACGGAGCACAATAGGGGAACACTGGAGGGGGGAAGAATGAGGATGAAGTGGAGGCTAAAAAGAAAGAAAAAAAAAAAGAACAGTGAAACTGATGTCAGAATGAAAACCTTACATGCACTCTTGTTATTCCCTAGCTTTTGATCACCATCTCTCTAAGCGAGCCGCTAGACTGCAGTGCGCTAAGAGGAAGCCCTTGTGGAGGGCAATGAGACACTACACACCTCGCACCTTCAGTGTCACATCTTCATCCCTCTGCTGGCTTTTCCTCTTCCTGCCTCTGCGTCTCATCAACAACATTCCTCCATCAACAAGCGTAAGGTTCTCCTGCCCATTCTCCATCCCTGCCTTTCTTTCAAAATGAGAAACTCTGCCGTCTGTTCTCCTCGGTCATCCTTTCGCCTCTGCAGTGCCCCCTCCCATTCCCGCATGTCTGATCACATGGTCTGCTAAACCAATCTAATCATTCGTCCTCCACTTCCCCAGCCTCTACAAAAACAGTCTGCAAACAACAATCTATCCAATCATCCTAACTTTCAACCACTGTCTTGTTCTTCAGAAAACCATTGGGGGAAATGTTACAATCCAACCAACAATATGATTTCAAACCACCCTAACATTATAGATGATAAATTCCAAATTCTAATCTATATATCTTGAGCACAAGGCTGAGAGATCTTTTAACTACCTGCTACAAATTCTCTAAAAGCATCTTTAAACAACAGAATAACTACCGACAATCACACATTAAAGGGGTCATATGATGCTTTTTTAAAGATCATTATTTTTTTCTGCATACACAAGTCAGTGTCAGCAACTAACATTCAGCATTTTTGTACACATTAAGTTGTCAATTGACAATATTTTATGCATTTATGAAATCAAATAAGAGTGTTTTTTAAATGCAACTTGATCAGACTTTGATGTGCCTTGGTTTTAATAAAAATATAATAATGACATATTATACAAAATATATGAATTTTAAATTATGATATTTGTTGCTTTTTGACAGTCTCACATGTGAGGAAAATGGTGTTGAATATGCTTTAAACTGAGGTATTGCTGAGGTTAATACAAAAATATATGAATACTGATAGAGAGAAAGTGACCTGTCAGTTTGGATCAAGGGAATTCGACCATTTTAAAATCACAGGTAAACACTATTAAAACACACACACACACATTAAAACATTATTATATAATAACAGAGTATTACGAATTTTTTTATTTTATGCTATGCCATATATTCGCGCCAATCTCCAAAAGTTTTTTTTCTTGCCATCAAATATTGCAAGAACACTTTGTGAAATTACAGAATTATTCTAATTGTTTTACTGATTTTTGATGTGACAATGGAAATGTTTCCTGGTCATAAAACTGTCTGGGTCAGTGGTTGTTGGCACCTGCTGGTCACGTGGTTCTTCAACAGTCAGCCAAAAATAAATCAATCAATCAACATCTACTGTATCCAACCTCTCCGCGAGAATGACAGACTTGCCTAAGTTTTCAAGAAATCTTTAACTGACATTGACATCCGTTCAAAATGTTAAACATCTGAACGCATTAAACCGATAGAGTAAATAAAATGCTAAATAAATTGAAGTCATTTTAGTGACTCCTTGCAGATTATTTTTCCCACTCAAATGACGGCACTAGTGTACTGAACATTGCTAACATTTCAACAGCTTCAGCTAAAGTTTCTGTAAAAATGCAGTATATATACAATGTACCCTCCGAATCAAAGCATTTTATTTTCCAGGTGTCCACTGCGCTGCACTTACCAGTCGCTTGCTGTAGCGCGGCTTTGGATCGTCCATTGTCAGAATGAAGAATCACGCGCAGCCCGCCAACGAACACACTTCTGTTTATCGCGTTTGAAATAACCGCCCCAACTGTGTTTGATGGTCACTTTATTTCAGTGTCCGTTTAACGATACTTGCATGAATACTTGCTGCATAAAAAAAATCAAATAGTTTTAGAACTCGTCAGGAGGTTCGTTCACACAGAAGCGGGTTTAACGATTTCCGCTTGTTCTTTAATACTACAAAACTATTGTATTATAATCTCACACAAAAAGTGAAAAGGGCAGGTTATTAAAACAACCATGAAAGCTTGTCAAGCTAAGCGCTGCTGAGGATAACGTTAGAGAACGAGCATCAGCACCAACCGCTAACCAGCCTAGAAACAGTCGTAAAAATATTAAAATTACAAAGCGATATGGGGTCTTGCTTATACATACGGCTTATATGTACAACGTCTAATATTGCAGTCAACCATAAGGAGTGCGGCGAGAAATGATGAGCGTACATTTATCGAGTAACACACGCTAATCCCGGTTCAAGTTTCTAATGAAACCATATTTCCACAAGACTTAAACTCGGGCTCACAGGGGGAAAATCCAGCGGTTAAAATAGTCCTCGTGTATTTTTTTTTACTACTAAAATGTGCACTCCGACTAGACTCGTCTAGTAACTTTTCTATTCTAAGTGAAAGTAAGCATTATTTAGACAGCTCCACTGTGTGAATTCACGACAAAGTTAATGTAGTACATCATTCGCCGCCATTTTCACATCGTCACAAAAACACCACGAAGTAAGACCCGCCCGTTATTGGTTCAGCATCCAATCACAAACACATGCGACGCCCTCGCCTTTGCGCTCATTGGTTAAGTGTCGCTGTCACTTCACTGGGAGGCGGCACTAAAGAGGAAATAATTGTACACGTGACCAAAGGAGCCACACTCTCATTGGCTGGAGTTGCATGCCGATCAACGGAGCTACACAAAGACTGGTTTACATGTGCTGGAAGCGTCGCGTTGCCAACCAATCAAATATTAAATATCAACACGCTCACTCAGTTTTAGGAAAATTTCTGCAACCATTTTTTAAATCCTTACGAGTAATATGATTATTGAAAAAAAATACCTTTTTTCTTCCGTGGCTTGACGTACCATCGCCTGCGGACGTCCAGTCCATGACTTGACTGTATAAAGCTCTCGATTGGGTCGTCTGGTAAAATAAATCTACATTTCTTTCGAATTAGCCCAGTGACAGTGAACTAACTTCACATAAGGTCTTCATTAAGGACTTAATTCTTTGAGTCCAATAAACTGTCTTGGAAAAACTGTACACATTGAATTGTCGGTAACCCAGCACAGTAACTCCGCATGGTAGAACTTTTCGTTTAACACAAGCGATCAGGAAGTAGTTGCTGATTGGTCAGCCATCAGCTAACGCGCAGCCCCTCATTGAACTAAACAGCTGTCGATAACTACACCTTCAAAACCAACTGCAGCAGAAACCTTTCTCTCTAAATAAAAATAACAATGATTTACTATTTTAAGCTTGGACGAAAGAACGAATAACACAGATTTTATACAACTCCGGTCTTTTAATCACAATTACTCAGTCTAAACAACTCAAGCCAGACTACTGTAGAGTTAAACTTAAGTGTCTCCAGAATACAGAGTTCTACTATTATCACGTACATAAAAGAAAATACCAGCTAAACATACGAAATAAATCAACTAAGTGCTACTCATCTACACTAAATAAGCAAATGGTCAGTAAAGACAGAACCATATTTACCCTCAATGAAAAACTTAAAATAATTTGGACTAATCCTAAAATAAAACTTAAAACATTATATAAATATTTAAGAATTAAAGTGGGGGGTTTTTTTCAACAAGGACAAAATATTTGTAACTGGTAGTGTATAGTGTTTCACTTGTCAGTAACAAAAAGTGAGGCCTC